AATACCACAGTTAACGCCATTCGCGTTTGATACGTGTTCGTGCTATTTAATCGTATGAAAGTCCATGCAAATCGTTGAAAAAAGTAATGTGTACAGTTTCCGTAGTTTAAAGCAAGAAATTTGAAATTTGTTGAGTTCGTGTGTTCTAACCTTAAGTCTAATAGGTGTGTAACTCTTGTGCAATTTTCTCTGATTCACGAATTTATACGCTCGCCAACGTCCATACTTTGACTTAAGGGGGGAATACACTTTAGAGCGCCTAAACAATAGTGATTTTTAGGAATTTTTTTCTCAATAACTACAAAGCGGAGCGTTCTCAAACTTTCATTATGTTATGTTCTATATTTAAACAATACAAACAATTTTCTATTTTAATGATTAATGTATTTTTTTTTCGTAATATTTATGGATCTTCACAGCTCCGCGCTACGCGCATCGTCAGTTTGTGTACAGCCTAGAGCCTCTAATTTTCATATGAAACAGGAAAACAAAAGTTTTTTTAATCCTTATAAAATTATCTCGTCGATGAACTAAAAAAATTCCGAAAAAAGTACAAAAATGCAAAAGTTTTGAGCTTTATTGAAAATGTTACGATTTTCCGCTAAAAATTTCGACTTTATAATGTAAATTGAAAGGAAAAAATGCAATTATTTATGAAATTTTTTAGTTCATCGACGATATTTTATCATTACCTAACGAAAAATCGCCTTAGGAGCTCAATTGGTCCAATAGATCGTTCTGTATCGTGTACACAAGATTCAGAAATATGATATTGAGAAAAACGCGTTTAAAGTTTTTCCACTGTTAGAGTAGTAGTTATTGAACACTTACTGCTGCAAGAAACTAATCCGCTATATCAGGATCATTTGATAATCCTTCTGTGTCTTCAAAAAATTCATTTTGCTCCATTTGGTGCATCCTACGCGAGATTCGTGCTTCTTTTATGCTGCTTTGTCTGCGGCGTTTCTGTCTCGTTATGCGCTGCGCGTCATACGTATCGACAAAGAATTTGCATTGCTGCCCGATATAAATATTTAATGCATTCATTATCTTCAATACAGATGAGTAGCCCTCGTTAAAAATGCCAGCAGTAATAAAGGCGGAGATTTCGATAATTTTTGCTCCGGAATTTAGATACTTTGGATTTAGGCGCCAAACTATTGAATTGAAACTCTCATTGCAATTCTGTGTGCGTCCACCTAGACACCTGGTTAATAAATCCTCCTTCGAGAATTCTTCATATATTGGTTTCAAGTGTTTGAGCACATCTGGGTGAAGTGGAGTAGGATGATTAAAATCATCTAATTCATCATGCGCTGACGCTGACCTGTTAGGCTAGCTGTATCTTCCAAAATACATAAAATTTTGCTCCGTAACTTTATACACGTATTCTAGACATATACAGGAATCAATTTCAAACAAAAAAAAATCGAAAATTTTCATCTTACAAAGTGTATTCCCTCCTTAAACAGGTATTGACAAATAAACATACATTGCGTTAAAGGATTGTTCAATATTAAACCTTCACGCCACTTGGAGAGCATCTAAACCCATACCTTGCACGAATTTCCTTCATTCACGAATCACTATTCTCGACAACGTTCATACCACGCTGTAAAATACCAGTTGGTCATAAGTGATCGTCCAGGTAAGACGTGCCTAATACCTGTGTTAATGACCGCAACCGAAGTGCAGCAAAAATACAACAAACGCAGGGCAAGTGGTGACAAAAAATCAGTGAAACACATAATTTATTTTATAAATATTTTGCATAAGCGGGAAGTAACAAAAAAATACAGTATAGTGGCAGATTTAAATTTCCCGCCAGATGAGTCCTGCGGGGACTCCCGACGAGAAACCGAAAATATTGAAGAAACGCAACATGATCATATCAACATGGAGCAAGAGAAAGTAAAAGTAATACCTAACGAAGTAATAAAGAAGTTAATAAATATGGAAAAAAGTGGCTCACTAAACCTCAACACTATAGAAAGTGTCAGTAGAAATCTTTCTGGCATAGGAAAGAGAAAAAATTTACATATCCCGATGGCTGATCCAAAAATACCGAAAAATGAAAACACAACCAAACGAAATGAAGAAGAGAATGCAAAGGTATTAACAGACATGCGCCAATTAATAGAAGAATTAAAAGCCCAAAATGAGAAATTAAACCAACAAGCTATTGCACAACAAGAGATGATCAGCAGCCTGAAAAAACAATTGTACGGAGCCACCTCGCAGAAAACATTAATCGAAAAGGCCGGCAAAAACTCTGCAAACGAGAATTCAATGGATACGGAACCTGAGGAAAAGTCTAAAATCCAAGACAAAGAGGACGCCAAAAAAGTCACCTAAAAGAAGTCTTTCTCAATGGCTACCAACATTAACATTCACTCAGAACCACTCAAATTAAAAATTCTATCATTAAACGTAAATTCAATAGTAAGCAATAGCAAAAGAATAGCCCTAACAACCTTAATTAATAAAAAGAAGCCCCATATAGGTTTGCTAAACGAAACAAAATTAAACAAGAAACATACACTATTCTTTAAAGATTATGTCTGTATCAGAAACGACCGTCTAGATAGCGGGGGAGGAGGTACAGCAATTTTAATAAACAAAAAAATATCACTCTATAATAGACTCCACGCAACAATACAAAACACTTGAAACGACTAAGATTAAAACAAGTTTGGCCGGTAACCACGAATTAATTATAGTAGCTTTTTACGCAAGGAAAAGCAACAGTAACCAATTTAAAAACGAAATGGATAAGTTATTCACGGAATTAAACTTGAGTTCAACGTCGAAATACTATATTATAGCAGGCGACTTTAATGCGAGACACA